AATAAAAATAAAAAAAGAACAAGTAATTTGAAACTGATGGAGATACTAGAAAAGGATGGTTTAGAAGTTAAAGGTTGGGAGTTTCAGTTTTATTGTCATACTTCAAAATCAGATTACCAAAGTATTCATATGGATAATTACAAATTTTTTTTTTTAGAACACTGAAATAGAATGTTTTGGTTTCAAAAATGGATAGGCATTTTCCAAAAGTAACTCAACATCTTAACTTTTAGATGCTGTTTATGGAAAATATTTTCTAAAATTTCAGTAATGCTGATGGAAAAACATCCTCAACTTTCTGCCCAAACTTAATACAACTTTTTTAACCAACAAACATTACATATATGGAAGGAGACAAGATGAAGGACACATCTCTTCCAAGAACAGGAGGTTTCCGGACACTTTGCTAGACAGATTTTCCCATCAGTACCCAACACTTCCTGTTACAGTTCCTTATGAACTGCCTACAGAGGAGATGAACTGAAGCTGCCAGGTCTCTCCAGAATCTTCCCAGGTCTAGGGCAGAGCTGTTTATCCTATTTTACACCAGCTAGAACACACATGTGGCAGCAGGGAATTTTGCAATTCTTTTCATTTAACTTCTCTTGTCTCTGACATGATTCATGAACTAGGGCTACAGGGAAAAATACAGAAATTATATCTAATATGTTATATTCAGCTTGGAGAGTTTAAAAAAAAATCAGCTCCTTCTGCAGTTCGAGAGCAGAGGAAAGGGAGCAGAAAAGTGTGACTAACTGTTCTTGAATATATATACAAGAGATGTGAACCAGAAAAGGAGCTGTGTTACTGTGGCTGGGGAGTTCATAGATCTGTGATTCACAGCATTACAGGGCCCATTTGGTATGCAAAAAGAGAGGATGATGAAAGCAATAGTTAGTCATGGAGAAAAAGCTAGACAGAACACACAAAGATGCTAACCCCTGGATAAGGAGCATGTTCAAGTGTGATCCACAGCCTGGGAAAGAGAATACTGTCTTTTTTTCTTTATTTTCTTAAAAATACCTTCGTACTTTGGTAGGTAGAGCACTCAAAGGAGTGTCCCACACCTCAGCCTTGAAAGAACACCACGAACTCCAGTGCACTGCTCAAGTCTATCTCAACCCAAGTGGATGGTACATTATTGTTCAAGCTTTTCCTAAAGCCAGACAGCTGTATTCTCTCGTGACCATACTTTTTTTCTCCTCTCAGTTTAGAAAGTATTACTTAAGGCAGGCAAAAGAGGAAAGAAGGCCATGCCAGCTATGCTGCAGGAGCACACAGTGTACTACCCTCTGCATGCAATTGCTGAAATCACCACTGAGGAAATGCTTGCAGATAGGTTGTGTTTCTCTTAAACTTTCACCTCCCTGAAAACAGTCGTGTTCAAAGTAGGGATGAAGGAGAATGATTTGCCTTAGGGATCCCCTTGTCGACTCATGTGACTGCTGCTGAAAATGGTCTGGATCTAAAAGACCACAAAGGCGTTTGATGTTCTTCATATATATCCTTCAGCAAAAGAACTGGGAGAACAGTCAGTGCTCTTGTGCGTGTGTGTTTGCATTTGCAATAACACACATGAAACAAGCTGTGCCCTGCCTGTTTGGAACAAGCTCTATCCTGCCTTGATGTACCCATACCATGTCTCTTCCACTGGTGTGTGTGCGTGTGTGTGTGTGTGTGTGTGTGTGTGTGTGGGAAAGGAGGAGATAAACTGGTGGGTAGAAATAAGACAGCCTCAAAGGAAAAAAAAGGGAGAAATAGGGACAGAAAAGGCAATTCAAACAAAAAAAAAGTGCAAAAGACACAGATGAAGAAGCAGGTAAGCATGAAAAAAAAAGACACAACAAAGGAAGGAAAACAATGTAAAATGCAAAAAGACAAAATTAAATAACCATCCCACTGAAAAGAGCTAACCAGAGCAACGTGGGATAAATCAGGTTGATAAGATGTCAGGAAAAAAAAAAAAGGAGGAAACATGGAAGACAGTAACACAAGCTTTGTTTAACACTGTTCATGGGGCAAGACAGGCCTTCCAACAATTATTTGCTAAGCAGTTGCCCATGGTCACTGATATGGATGATGCCTAGTTTCAGATCAGATCTCTCAGCAACAAGTACAAGCAATGTGATCTGCCAACCCAGAGTCTCCTGGGTGGGAGAAGGATTCCACAGAAAGGTCTGTGGTAAAGCAGAGAACTGAACCTCAGTTCAGTAAGTTTACTGTCTCCTTTAAGTCAAGATAAGACTGCTGCCTTTCCTTCTCTGCCATGCTTGATGGATGAATCCCTGCTCCAGTACTATCACTCACCTCTAATCAGGACACTAGCTCAACTAGCATCTAGGAATAATGGGACAAGAGTATGGTAAACAATTCAGCCTGCTGCCAACAGTAATTTCCCCAGCACAAAGTACAGCCTCCCTCTCTCCAATAATGGCTCCAGATGGTTTTGCAGCTTTCCTGCTAGGTTAGGACTACCAGCCAACCTGGGAACATCCACCTGAGTCGTAAAATGAATTATGGCAAACTGGTGCAACTCAAAATAAAGGAAAAAAATTAAAAAAAAAAAAATAGAAAATGTTTGGAATGATTTCCCATTCCCAGCCAGCAAAAATGAGACATGCCATCACCAGGAAACTTGTTTACCACTGTCTTTACCACATCCATTAAAGCTCTTGAATGTTGCTTTGAATCACAAGGAGTCTCCAGGGCCCCATGGAGTAGGCAATGCCTGGGTATGATACTCTGCAGCAGTCCTCCTGCTAAACCCCAGGCTCACATTGTAGGGACACACTCAAACACACAAGTGATGGCACTGGTTTTTGCAGCACTATTTATGGTGATGTCAAACTATTCGCCTGGTGGGGGCGGGGGGTTTATTGGCAGTTAGGCTAAAAAAAAAATACCCAGGAGCATCTTTTTACACCTGAAGCAAGGAAAGGTTTGGACCTGACTTTGCAGCCCGCTCTGGGTTTCACCAGTGTGCATATGTGCAGGCACCACTGCTGCCCCTGAGTGATTCAGAGCATCTGTGTGGGAATGAGCAGGCAAATTCAGTCAGAGTCTGTCATCCTTTATGGCCTTTCTTACATCAATAATGTTGAAATGTAAAGGACACAAAAGATGCAGGTAATCTCACTGGTATATTATTATTTTTTACTAGTCATGTTCTTGCTCAACCATAACTTTCCAAACTGAAACATTTCTGGTTCCTTTAAAGCATGAGTTAATAATGACAAATCAAAGAGCGGGATGATCCTAAATTAAAGAGGCACAGTATAAGGCCCTGCTATAATCAAGGAAACTACTGTTATCTAGAGACATAGAACAGGCACATTTAATTCTGCATTCCTCACTTTAGCCCAAAGAAACACTAATCCCCTTATCCCCCTTGTATGGTGCCATCTAGCACATGCCCATCAGAAACAATGATTGCATACATCCAGTGAAGAGTAAGGGTAATTTCCTGTGGTTGTTTTACAAGCAAGAGATGAAATTGTGACTACCCTGCAGAGGTTTAAACAATGGCTTGTAATAAAACTGATGTCATAATATGTAATCAGAAGTTTGACATGCCTAATGCAGCATTCATATGTAAAATGTCTGCAGTGGAAACAGCCCAGCCCTCTAATTTCAGTCTTTGTTCAGAAATGATACCTTGGGCCAGGTACCTCTGATCACCTGCTGAAGTCCCTGTCAAAGGATGGAGACAGATTTTCATGGAAATGCCACAGAAATCCGACTGGCTCCATGCAGGCAGGCAGAAGCCCTCCGGAGCCCAGGAGAAGGCAGGCTGTGCTTGAGCCTGTTAGTAAGCACGGAATTGCCACGCATGACTGCATTGGGAAATTTTGAAATTTATCTCAGCTATTCTGCCCGCTCCTCCACTAACTAAACCACTCCACGCAGTTCCTGTATGATACCAGAGACATTTACCCCATCATCTGATGTCTTCCTAATGTTACAAATATCCCAGAGACATTCACCCGCAGTTTTCCTAAATGAAAGCAGGAAGTCAGAAGTCATCCATGCATTTAAGCCCATTTCTCTGGATTAAAAACCCAGGGTGGCCACAGTCTGGATCTCGATAAGCTCTTGGGGAGGCACAGGGGGTGACACAGACACAGGCCGGAGCCTGGCGCTGGCAGTGGATGGCCAGGCTGCTGTGTGCCAGGACAAGGACCGCCGGGGTCGGGCAGGGACAGGCAGGATGACAGAGCCTGGGGCCGGGGTGG